GTTCTGGAAGCTGGTGGAATCTTTTCATTATGCATTCGTTGGAAAGAATCCAGATGGATCTCAGCTTTGCAGTGATGGATCAAGATTTCTCATCACCGAGATGCGTGGTGACTTAGATTGGTTCAAGCAGTGCTGGCAGTTCGAGAAGCGGGGGTGGATGGCCGTAGATTGCTGCTTTTTCTGCGACGCCAAGTCGAAGGGGCAAACCAATCCTTATTCCGAGTGCGGCGTTGAAGCTCAGTGGAACGAAACTGAGTTTACAGAAGCTTGGGATTGGGCAGCTCACGTCTTGCCTGATCGCTTGTGCGCCTGAGTTCGGTTACTGACAATTTTCAATGTTTCCCCTCGGCCCTGAATGATCGTCAGTTTGATACTAACTCATTTGCTCTGTGGGTGCGCAAGCCGTATCCCTGGTGACAGGCCCACTTCTTGCAACCCCTGGGTTCTCTGTGGACACAATTCGGCTGTGCAGTATGCACACCTTTTGTTTGGGCCTTCTGCAAACAGCAAATGGATCAAGCCTGACCTTTGCATCCAAATCGTTTAGCAGGTTTTCTGTTCCTGCACATTTGTTCAAAAGAAGTTTGGTTTATGTGACTCTTGAATTCTCCCTTGACACCCAACTTCTGGCAAAGGATCAACCTTATAGAGCACGGGTACTATGGGAATCCTGACGGGCCTTTGGACAAACACCTCATTTGCCTGTACCAGGACTTTAAAGCATGGTGCAAGCTCCACAAGATTTACACGAGCCAGCGGCAGTTCTATCCTGGCTTGGACTCTCCTGCTTAGCAGCCAGTCCCTGTTTGCTGTTGTTCCAGGTTCTTTTTGATCATTGCGAGCTGGTTTGCTAAAAACATTAGGGGCAAATTTTGTGTGAGGTGATCAAATCGAACAACAATGTCACTATGACCCACAAAGCATACAATGGGCGTGTGCTGTGCGCCTACACGGCGGAGGCTTCGCGTCTTGCCTTAGAAGGGAGAGACCCCGAGGGCCTGAACAGATTGTTCGGTCAGTGGCGGAAAGCCAACAGGCATGCTGGCCAGCCGGATCCGAAGATGCCCCTGCAAGCTGCGACAATGCGCCTTCCTGTTAACCACAAAAAAGTTGTTTCATTTCAACCGGTCCGAGTTTGGTTGGTATCAGTACCATGGCGGCCTGCATTGGTTTGTGGGGACTCTTGTCTTGGAATAATGGGGACCTAGCTGGTGCAATTGTACCAGGTCAGCTGCTGAGAGGTGGTGTGGCCTGATTGAACGAGCCGGAAGGTACCTGCACCTCGCATTGTTTAGTGGAATGTTTGTGGGGGTCTTGGTCATGAGGTTTTCCACCTTACCCCTGATTTCTCTGGGCAAGTGAGGTCCCGGGAGGAAGCGCAAGACATTTATGATTCAGCGCAAGCTTTTTGCAAGGGGCATGTCATGCTCACTGCCATCCACATGAGGCGCAGCGTTCGTGGGTTGATTTTTTGGGGAACTATATGATTTTTTGGAAACTGTGAGCTGGCAGCTAGGGCCACCTTGGATTATTGTTTTCTGAGTTGGTCGCTGAGTGCCAGTTTGTCAGGGAGCAGCGGGAAGCTCTAGCTCGCCGTGGCAAAATGATGCCATTGCAATGGATTTTGAAGCCCAAACTGCATACGTTTGATCACCAGAATATTTACCTCTTGCTCCACCGGATGAACCCCAGACATATGCACACGTATACGGACGAGGATCAAATGAAATACGTCAAATCTTTGGCACTGAAGGCGCCCACTAATACCCTGGAGCCGCACATTTTGAACATTTCCAGGTTGCGCCTCAAGTTGGCAGCCAGGCGTATGGCTTTTTTGAATGCCACCAGTGCACGCAGGTCTCGCCGATGAATTGGCACAGAGATCTTGTTTCAGCTTGCGAGAAATAGTGGATGTTTGTGGGCCTGCAAGGGGGGTCCTATGTGTTCTCAGGGTAGTATATATCGAACGGCCTCAATATTTGTGGTTGTTAGGCAGCGGCCTCAATATTTGCAGCCTTTGGAAGGCTAGGGTATACTTATCAATGCTCTCAGCAAACCAGCCATTGGTTTAGTAGTACTAGTTTAGATGTTCCGTTTTTGGCTGAGGAAAAGACTTTGCACAATTGAGGACATTTATTCTTGAGGATCAGAGGCCTTCTGGGTCTACTACCTGTTTAGGAGCAATCTTTACACAAAGGATTGATTAGCGGATTGGTGGCTTTGGGAAGCTGTCAGTTTTGAAGGGCTAGAGAAACCTATACTTATTCAATAATCTCAGCAGGTCAGTCATTTGCTTAGTAGTATTCACAGGTCTCCGAAGGATTTAAGACCTCCTGTTTGTTTTAGATATAAATTGTGTCGGAAATGTTGGATATAAAAGTGTCGGAAATGTTCAACATCATAGAAGATCCTTTTACTAACCAGGATCCAACATTGTACACAAATCAAGACATCGTAAAGCCTTTTTGTTCCGTTTCGGCGTGTTTCTTCTTGGCTGCTCTGACCAGCGTTGGCATCCCGTCGTCGTCGGGGATCCAAGTCTTGGCTCCGTGGACTGTAGACATGCGGTGCGACTGGTTGGGCAATTCAGATCGGACACCCCCCAACAAAGGGACACACATGAAAACCACATGGAATCATAAGACAGGAATTGTAAAAACCCAGGCTGCTGACTATTTGGAGGAACTTGTTCTTCCATCTCGTGAAGACATGGCCACAAACGCGGCTCCGGCTGCCTGGCACGCGCATCCGCGACAGCCTGGCCCCAGCCTCCCAGGCAAACCTCCTTGTTCCCCTTCCTGGCCCTGCTGGATGGGCGCCAATCTTGGACCGAGCTCCGTGACGAGTTCCTTGGAGCGATCTGGATCGTGTCCGGGCGCAGCAGTGCCCACATCCACGTCAACTGGATGGGACTCAAGTGATGTCCTTTTGGAAGCATGCCGGGAACTGCAGGAAACTGCATGATGTTTAGGATGTTGTTTGTTTTCTGTTTGAGTCAATCCACCAGTGTGACAAAGATATTTCTAATGTTTTTTCCAGGTTCCTTGAGCAAGTTTTGGAGGACAGGGAGCAGACGTAAAGAGTGAAAACGTGACATCAGATGTAAGGGCCTCCGGAATATGCTATCATCGTGTTGCCATTGGAATCAACATGGATTGAAAAGGTCCCTCTTTTCCTGGTGGGGAGAGGTTCACGACCACCTTGGGGACGGGTGGTCTGTGGACCTCCACAACTCTGATCATGGAAGAGAGCAATGTTTTTGGTGAGCAATGCCTGTTGGACAGTCTATTCGAGGTAGATAATGTATGATAATGTATTATGCTTCAGTTTTAAGTTGGCCTCCAACTGATGCAACCCCTCACTACCCCCACCTGGTCACGCCGAACAACCACGAGTACACCCTCCCTAGTCTCTGAAAACTGGACCTCTCTCAGACCGGAGGACTTCGCCGGTTTGACGGTTCGGTCCAAGGATGGTGACCTCCAATCTGGTGGCTGCCAGCATCACTGCGGTGCTCTTCAGTTGCTTGGGTGCTTTGCGGCCTGCGTGGATGGCCTTTGGCACCACGAAGGGCCTCTAACATGCCGGTCGAATGAGCGCGATGTGAAGGCGTAGATGAGTGGATGGCACACAAGTTCAGAGCTGGCTGATAGGTGCATGTATGTATTTATAGAACCTATATTGATACCCGATTTTGATAGGATAAGGCCATCAGGTCTTGGTACCCATCAGCCAATGGCCCGTGCTGTGTAGAATCCACTCTCGAACCGCTGGCTCGGATGCTCCGGCTGTTTGACATTGGCACGGCGAGAAGCGGAGAAAGAAACCCTTGTGTTGGACGAGGCGAAAAACAGAGAACCCACCCGAGGCGCACAGTGGTTTCAGAGTAGATGGCACAATCCGCAAGGTCGGTGGCTGATATGCATACTATGGACCCCTTCCAGTGGACATCTTGCTGTGTGCCAGTGTCGTCTACTCTGAAAAACCCACCGAGCAGCCACAAAAACACACCGAGCCCAGATGTGCGGATCGGCGCGCCGTTGGGTGGGGCTTCACCAAAAAGATGGCCCGGTCTCAGCCGAGCGCTTTCCGTGTCTTGACAGCCTAAGCCACTGGACCAGTGGCTTGACACGGATGTGCCCAGTCGAACGCATCCACGGATGCACCCATGGATGACGGAAAAGGGCTCGTGGGGTGACCCAGACACTCCATGGGACTGCCATATATAGATCAGTTAGGGTGGTTTTGGGGGGTCAATGTAGGCATATATGGCATACATGGAGTGTTTGGGTGACCATTGTCTCACTACAAACAGGTGGAGAACCTCCACTTCTATGATGATTCTCAGGAGTGTATACAGGAGTGTGGAGACCAGTGGAAGCACATTGTACGACGACTTCTGCGTCAGTACGGAAGTCGTTAAGTCACTGGACGTCCTCGTTTGGGAATGTTTGGGAGCTTGGTCTTTTGCTAACATGAGCCAATGCCAGGAGGTTGATAGGGCACGTGTCGAGGTCAGGATCAACGTTTCAGATGTGACTTGGGTTTCGTTGGTGTTTGTTTGATACCATCATCATATATGTTCTATTAAAATTGGTGCTCCTTCATGAATAATAATATATTTTATTTATATGGTGTTTTGTTATTTTCACACACATGGACTCTTCATCAGGTAAAAATAAAGGTTGAACACACAAAATAACAAACCACTTAATATTATATGGGCGCTGGAATCCACCAAATACAAATAAAAAGTGTCCTTATCCACAGCTGTTTGGTCTTCGCGAGCATGCCGCAAAAACGGGATCCGAGCCCCTTCTCAGACGTTATGGTAGACGACCCCGCCCAACTCACCTGCAAACATTCCCAACCACCTTGTCCTAAATGTCGTAACATGCCATGCATTTGCCATACATGGAGTGTTAGGCGACATCGACATCGGAGTGGACGACCCTCGTTTCGGCCAATGACGTCGATCGCGGCAGCGTCCGACCCTTCAGGAGATGTGCTACACTTGGCCCAGCGTCGAGCTGAGGCACCGGGGGAGACAGGTGACGCGGACGCGTGGCCGCTCGGGGCGCCAGGTCTCTCCAAGCTGGGTGACTGATGCTGGTCTCTCCGACGCCAACCTAGACAGGATGCTGGGTGACAGAAGTGCACCTAGACCGACAGGTCCAAAGGGTCCGATTGAACACCAAATCCTCAAGACCCCCCGATTGTGCGAGTGCGCAAGTGCTCAAGTGCTCATTGTAGACTCCCGAAATGGCCCAGCTCCCATCAATGTCCCAAACAACCCCTATAGAGAATCAACTCATTGAACTCTTTCCCGCCACCGTGAGCGGTGGGAAATGCGACCAGAAAAGCTTGAGAGGCGTGAAGGCCCTGAAGCTGTGGAGATTTGGGATGGCGATCCGGCCTCGCGTGGGGAGCCCCGGCGGCTGAAACGACGAAGGGACACGAGGGTTTTGGGGAAAAAGGCGATGTTGGAGCGTTTTGGGGTGTGTGACTGGTAGGGGAAGAAGGAGAAAACCGGAAGAGACGAAGATAAACAGAAAAAGCAACAGGCAGAAGGAAAGGAAGAGGTGTCTACTCCTCGCAATCTCTCGCACAAAAAATAGAAGTAGCACACGGAGACCTACGGCCTAGATAAACAGTGACTTGTCAGAGTCACAGTGGCTTGGTGAAACAGTGACCTGTGACTAAGTGCCCTTTGATGCCACTGGCTTGTTCAAGGTCAGTCACAAGGTCACTTAACTCGGATGCATTGAGTTGCTAATAGCGATGGCCTCCAACCTATAGTCAAAAAGGCCCAACATGTGATTCCTTTCTCTCGGCCCTTCTCGGCTGGTCAGCTCGGGGGGAGCTGGTCTGCTGGTCTGACACGAAAGCCAGTCGTTCGTTGAGGCGAACATCACCATTCTCCAGCCTGTTGCCACTGCCTTCCCATGCCTTTTTGGTTTCCATTCCCATCCAACCATCCCCTCCAAGTAATACGTATACCACGGTATACCTTGCCATCCATCCAGGTCCAGTCACATGACTCATCACCTGACCCACCCAGGCCTGCTGTCACACGAGTCGGCGGACGACTCGGCCTAAGCGCGTGACTGGCCCGGATGGACGATGGGGCGGATGCGGGCGGATGGCGCCATGGGGCGGATGGGGTGGGGTGGGGAGGTGGAACCATCGAGGCATCGGAGAAGTGGTGGGCATGAGCCATGGACCGACCTCCAACAGGTCTCCTGGGCCGAAACCGACGATTCAAACGGGCCGGTCGAAGAAAGGTCGGTCGAACCGAACAGGTTCGGAGGTTGGTCGTTCACGCAGCATGGAGCGGAAGCACTATTTTGGATATGTAGTGTCACTCATGCAGCGCATGCGGCATGGATCGGCGGATTGCCAGTGCCACGTCTGACCCATCCATGTAACGTCACGAAGTGGATGGCACGGGAGCAGCCCCCATGATGTCTTAGACAGATCGGGGGTCCATATAAACCACCCCCAGACACTCGATGCCCTGTATGCCTACATTGACCCCCAAAAGCACCCCTGGCCTCATCGGCATATATGGCAGTCCCATGGAGTGTTTGGACATATGCATTTTTGGGATTGTGCCATCTACTCTTTGAAAGCACTGGGATCGGCGATCCCATCGACTCTTAGATGCTTTGGGGATCGGAGCTCTCCGGCAGCGCAGCGCAAACCACCGGCGAAGCCCCTCGGACGCAGCGCAAGCCGCCCGCGGAGGAAGCTCTCCGCGATTCCGCTTGGGGAAACAGGTTACACCGGAGAGGGGACAACCAGGTGGTGACACCGGGTGGTGACACCAGGTGGTGAAACTGGGTGGTGAAACCGGAGAAGTAGATTTACAGGAAAGCCATGGACAACATGCAAGACATGTCAGAGTAAATGCATCTCTTTGCAACTGTGGGCACTATGGTCACGCCCCTGAGTTTGTCATGCTGTTCACATCGCCCCAAGCAGTCTTGGGGCAGAAGAGATACCCACCGTGTTCAAGAGAGTGACCATGGGAACTGTCTACCACGTAGTTTCTACTAAAGATGGTTGGGGGAGTGTTCCCCTACGTATTCGAATGAGCTCAGGACAAGACACTATCCGTACCCAGACCATCCACGGGACTGGCCTATTTGCTGATCAGTTGGGGTGATTTCAGGGGTCCATTGATCGGCATATATTCCAGTCCCATGGATGGTTTGGGTGAGATTCCCATGTTCTGTTTTTTCACCGGACGCACTTAAGCTCCTGCACCACCTTCGCATGGCTGCCATCTCGCCGCGTCCTGTTCCATCGTAGCTCAGGTCGTTCCAGACCGGAGGACTGGCAATTCCAGAGAGCAAGTTTGAGCTTCTGGGTTCATTGGAGCTGGCCATCCCTCAATGCTCGCGGGCGACCGTGTTGTGCTGTGTTTGGGTGTTGTTTGACCGCTTCTTTGAACTGGGTGACCAGTGGTCGCTTTGCAAAGGAGGTAGGGCAATGGTCAGAACAAACAGCTGCAAACGGGTGCACAGGACATGGTTTGCTCGGAACTGGGCATGAACATTGAGTTCCGAGAAATTTGATGAGAAGGGCGTGGACAATGGGTTGATCACAACTGTTTGTGCCAGACAAGTTCCAGTTTGTTTATGATATATATGGTTTGGGTTGTGGATGAGTTTGGTGTAAATCAAAGAAGTGTGGTCAGAGACTGGACAAGACTCGAACGCCAGACCGTGCAGCAGGGATGAGCCATCCAATATGCCGGATTTGCAGGATTTAGGTTCCTGAAGTCTTAGCAATTTTTGATGTGGTCACTCCATCATTGGATATGAAAAGGCCGCATAGCCCAGCAGCCCAGCAACAGATCTTTTGTCAATGAGGGCTATAAAGCCAAAAGCTCAAGTATGTCTAAGTTCCTCCTAGCGAATTAGTGACCAGTAGTTCGACAAAAAAAGGGACAACACCTCTTCGGTGGACGTCAGACGGGCATACCCTTCAGACGGACGTGGTCGGGTTGAGTAGCCAATCCTCCATCCTCCCATCACTATCCATGGAGAACTTCCGCTCCGGCCGGATGGCTGATGGCTCGCATCGGCTCCCCAAGTCACCATGTGCCGGTCACCAAGTGCCAAGTCCCAGTGGATTTGAAGGTGGGTAGGCCCAAACTTCCAAAATCTTCCAAACGTTTGTGAACATTCATATTGCATCCCACGTGCTTTTCAAGCGGAACACCTTGCCCCGTTGTCACGTTGAATAGCTCGGCCAGCGCCGATCGATGAGTTCCATGTTACACCAACAGAGGTTGAGCATGAAGAACCCTATAGAGTACTAAAGAATAAAGTATCCCATAGGTACCCCAGTAGGGTCCTATATAAGGTCACTGAAGCTCTGTTGGAACGACTTTTTTGGTTTTGTGGGAGGAGACGAGGTGAGGAGGTTTTTGCACCGGTGATGTGGGTCCCTAGCGCCGGGCCACCGACGACCGACAGACTTGCCATCATGTGGTGCGACTCACGTTTCGTAGCACGTGCGACATGCCGTGCGACGCGTGGCTGCTACCCGCGGCGTGGCGGCGTGGGTCCTTGAAGATTAGGTGCTGGCCACATCAGCAGTTTTCACATCGGCAGATGCGCAACCTGATAGACAGCGGTCGATCCGGTCCCAGCTCTGTGCCTTTGCGTGCACAGAGTGCCGGAGATGGCCATGCATGCTTATTGGTGCTGATCGGTGCATGATGGGTTTGGGATCGCAAGGTCATGAAGTAGAAAGATGAAGGAAACATGAAGCCTGTTTGATTCAAGTCCCATTTCAACTCAGAACCAGATTGCAACAACAGGTTTTCGCACTGAATATATGAATTATCCAACTCTCCATCTTAGTCTCTTTCTTGATCTTCCGTGGTGCACGATAGCCGCGAACCGTTGAAACCGCTGTGGACCTCGGGAATTCGCGACCCGACGTTCGCCGTTTTCGCGACCGGGCCAGTCGTCCCAGCTGCATCTGGTCGTGCCCGCCCTGCAGGTGTTTGACCGCAGCGCGTGGGACTCGCAGCGCGCGCGCGATTTCTCCATCCGTCGACCGGTGCCGGACGGGCCAATTAAAGCGAAGGTCCCACGACTGGGCCCAGGGTCTCGGTCCAGATGAGCCAAAACATGGTCTTTTCCTGTCAAAACAGAGGTCAAATGGGGTCTAGGGATAGATATACAATGACATACTACATATGATCATAATCATATAGATACCACACTTCCTTGTAGGTTCTCCACACCCTTTGGGGGTACCGTTCTATCGTTTTTCTTTGTTTCTTTTTTTCCGCATATCTCAACTTCATGCCATGTAAGCGGTTTCGGCTGTGCCTCGTTCGCTCCACCACACTCCAAGTGTTGGAGATGGTGTCAGATCCTTTCAGAACATCAAGATGTCACTGGAGACACTAGCTTTTGTAGACCTCAGTGCTGACTGGTATTGCATGGCAATTATAGGCTTCATGTTGGAACCCCCAAGGCAAGTATATAGATCCTATAGATGTTGCAATGCTCCAAGTTTGCATGCTTGGTGCGTGGTGGGCAGCTTGCATGGAGTCGACCGAATCCTTTTCATCAAGACGGGTCTGGACCAGACGGGTCTGGCGTGACTTTCGCTTTTGGCCGTCCTTGTGGGTGGGCTGGCCATGAATCTATGCATAACTCTATAAACTCTAGAGGTCTTAAAGGACTATGGTTTTAAGTCGCTAAGTGAGTCGATGTTCTGGGCATCTGTACTCCTTCCTCCGTTCCTGACCGGCACCCAACTCCATGGACCTTCTGGTATAACAATTGACGACCACCGACCGACGACCGGAGACGAGCACAGGAGGTGAACCAAGGCGGTTCCCATTGGCTTCAGGCCCACGAACGAGGCCCACGAGGGCCTCAGCTTGGGGGGGGAGGCCCAACAGTCCTGTAGATGCAACCGCTGGTCGGGACGACCGTGCCCGCGGGCCTCGGGCCATGAGGTCACATTGTGCACGATTGTGCACGTGGTGCGAACTGGGTCCACGTGTAGAAGAAATGGAGCAGAATTTCTGGAGCCAGTCGCTACATAAATCATAATTCTGGAGGCACAATCGCTAGCAGCTTGGAGGCCATCGCTACAAAAATCGTATTAAGGTCTCCAGCGAAGTCAGCACAGTCCTCAGGGCACCAAAAACCGTCGGCGATGGTGTGTACAGAACCACTCGCCGTGTCCGTTTGCGACTGCGGTGCGTGCATTTCGCGGCTCGCCGGCGACGCCATTCGCCGTCGGACCGCCGTCGGATGGGTGTGTTGCAGTCCTTGATCCAGTCACCGTAAGGATCCAAGTACCTTCGCAGAAGGTGATGTGTTCGACACTGCTATGTAGGGGCCAGGAGGGTCCAGTCGTACCGAACCTGAGAAGGTACGACTGGATCCCTAGGGTCAGCCTGTGCCGGGCCAAACGCACCGGTCAGAGTTTCTGGTCAGGTGTGGTTTGTTGCTGTCGAGTCCGCGCTCAGGACAGGTGGATCAGCTGCAAAACATGTTTGGGATAAATTTGGGGACACCTACTCAAGCAAGAACAGGTGCTAAAACGGCCAGAGGTCCAGGGACCTCCAACATTGGGAGAATCCGCAGTTCTCATGCCGCCCTGCGCCCGCCCTTGTGCTGACATGCCCAGACCAGAGGTTCAATGGCGCCCCCAATGTACGTGGTTTATATGGAGCCCTTTTCTCCAAGGACATCTTGGGGGTTGTGCCGTCTACTCTGAAACCACTGCATGGATTTGTATGGAATATAGTTGTATATATATTCATCCCGGCCATTTACGGATTGTGTGGTCCGGATTGGATGCGGCCCGTGAAGCTCCATAGTGGTGAAATAGAGTGCGCCCGGTGAAACAGAACATGGGAATCTAACCCAGACCATCCATGGGACTGGAATACTGAAATCACCTCAACTGATCGGTACATAGTCCAGTCCCATGGATTGTCCATGTCCATTCTGAGCAAGTGGAGAACCTGTGTTCATCCAGTTGTGACTGGACATGGCAGTGGACACGATGTCGGTGCTTCTCCGCAACAAGAGAATGCCTTTCTCATCAGCCAAGGCTGCAGAGGATACATAGAGGAGGCACTTGGAGTGGGAAAAACAACATGCACCCGCCGGATTGTACAATTCATTGCCATGATCAACATCATGATTTATCATATTGTCACACCAGCACCTTCATGTCGGGGTCACCGATGGGTTCGCCCCTACACTACTATCCGGGATCTCCAGCCAGGACACCCCTTTGAAGCATCATTTGTCGTGCTTGTTTCATGTGACGCTTCACTTGGACTCGCTGGGACTCGCTCGTGCCTCCGTTGGATTGACAGCAGGGTGCGGGATTCGGAGTTCCGACTGTGCCGTTGAGGTCCGGGAATGTTGAACGAAAAGCATCGAAGAGCTGCAAAAAGGTACAGGTTCAAAAACAACCACCCCATTTGGATGGGTGACCTCTTCATAAGAGGGGGAGTGTACTGTATATATTTAAAGAAGTCTTTAGACCTATACATTAAACAGATCAAGCAAGAACTGGAAGTGGAAGTCACTCATCATGGCTTCGGTTCGCAGGGTTTCGCGGCTCGAAAACATCCAGCAGCTCGAGCGCTATGGCACTTCCGGACTTCACAGGGACGGACGTGAACCCGGACCTTGGACCGGAATTTTCGCGTGAACAGGGCCTGTTTTGATGCCTTCCGCCCGCCTAGCACAGGGCCAACGTTGGATGGAGCAGGAGGATGGGGCGAAGCGCCTCAGCCATTCGTGTACCCGCATGGTACCACGCTTTCTGGGGTCAATATCGATTCTACGGGATGGTGTGCGTTGAGGTGCAGGGTGCAGGTAGAAGACGCGGTAGAATCCTCCAAAAGCAATGCGAAAAGCAGCGGAGTGAGCCATTCAACCCAACCTTTTGGCCGCCAAGCTGTGAAGAATGGTGGCATCACAGGCATCACAGGCAGGATGAGATGAGCAGGGGGCCTGACAGCTCAACTCCATGAGTTGGGACTCCAAGTGCTCAAGACCAGGTCGTAGACGTGGTCGGATTCAAACTGATTCAACCTACCCAGAGGCTCCGTGATTTTCCAGCCCGGACCGGTCCATCAAAACCTAGGGTCGCATTTGGGTAGAGGTTTAGGCCCGAACTGAGCCGAAAAAGGAACGATCGAATGAGGATGTCGGCGGATCCTCCGAAGGTTCTATCCACAAAGGTTGGTGCCCCCCGAACTTCTGCATCGCAGATAGATCTGGCGCGGCCCGTATTGAGGAGTTGAAGCAGAACAGCACTGAGTATGTGGAGTGTTGTGTGGACTTGGAAGTATGAAGAAACAAAGGGTCTATCCGGACCATCCTGTCTGGATATCTCTATATAGTGTAGAGTAGTCTATTGGACACCCATTTCATTGGATGGACCTGG